AGTTCATCTATCAATTGTAATGTGTTAACTTATAGTAAACTATAGAAACATTATGAATGAAGTGTTCCCAAAATGTTTGACGTGTAATGTTTTTCTTCCTTAAAAAGTCTTTGACTCTCTTAAGTAAAAAACCAAGAAATAATAGAATGTAGATATTAGACAAATAAGAGACTTACATAAATAATATATTGGTTAATGAAAAAATAGAAAATATGAATGGGTCATATTCACGTACAAAAACCAGTTCACGCATGCCTTGCTAACTTTACTACGAACTAATTTTTCGTGTGTTTTTCTTCCTTTGTTCTTCACAATAATTTTATCTTTTAGATAGACTATACGATTTGCACAAACAAAAAAGTTAGCCTATATACGCTTATATTTGGGATGATCAAATTATGGAACACCCTAAAATATAAACTATTCACAGATTTTGTGGCGTAATTTGAGTAATTTTTTAATATATTGATGAAATAGACTAGGGAGGGAATGATTTTGGCGTAATAAAGAGCAAAACATATCAACCAACAACTAAAGTTATGCATGTGCCCTAATTTAAGTTAAACATCTGTTTTATTGTTGTAATTTAATTCAAGCATCCACCACATAAAAGAATCTTCTTTACGAGTTTGGAACCAGAGACCGAAAATCAAGTTTGTGAGAAATCCAACGGAAGTGGTTGGGTTTAGATGTTTAGTGGTTAGGTTCTATATTTGGGTCGCGACCAAAATCTCAACTGCTATAACCACATGGAAGTGGGCTCGTTGGTTGTAATAATGCTCCTTTTGGTCAACGCTCCAACGACTACCTGCCACATGTTCCAACTAAGTTCTTAGGGCATTGTTGGGCTCAATTTGAGGTAGACTCTGTTATACGGTTTAGGTATGGATTGTCCAAAAATACCCATAACAAAGAGAATTTTTTTGGGAAGTTTTTTTTCTTCTAATCAAATCCGACTTATTTTTCGAGGTTTTCTAATGGATCTAAATAATAACACTAGTTAGGTTTAGCCATATGAGAGTGGTTAGATAGTTCCGTGTTTGAGAGGAAGACTAGTAAAGCACCTCTTTCTCAAGTGGATAATCGAAAAGTTCTTGGTCATTTCCATTCTTATGCACTATCGCACAATTTGATTTCAGGTTCAAACTCCATATAATATGTATTAATTAGTATAAGAATATTTTTATAAACTTATCAAAAATTAATCTACCAATAACACTTTAGTTACTACTTACTATTTTAATATGGTAATGGACAATTACTGGGTAAAAAATCAATTAAGTTAAGTCCAAAACTCTATCGCTCTCTCTCTCATTTTTTCTTCTTCATTTCTTTCAGCCGCCATCTTCTTCACTGATTTTTTCTTCTTCCTTTTTAAACCAATTTCTTCACAAACTCTCGAATTAATGGCAAATCCTTATGATTGGGATGGAGAAAATGTCAAGATCCCTCTAGGAATAGATCATGATCTTGTTATTACTAAAATTTTCGATGCACTTTGTGTATTCAATTTCGTTCCATATTCTCCAATTCTCACTGTCGTTGGCTGCAGAAGAAGAATCAGTAACGTTTCTTCCCAGTGGTTTCTCCGATCTAACCTGATAAATTTCAAATGGTTGCATGAAGATTATGTTGAAGATCAGCACATTCCTAAAGATGCAGTTGATAGATTTATAGACATTTCGTTCAGGGGGATTGTGAGGAGGATCGAGGGATCGATAGGGGTGAAGAAAGTGGTGAAGAACTCGAAGAATTGCCGAGATACATACTTGTGCGCATTATTGCTGTTGTATCAATATAGTTTATGAGGGTTCTGATGTAGTCTGGGGAACAAGATACACTCACAAAGGCAGATACTGGTCACAATCAACCTTCACCTCCACCTCCAGCTCCTTCAAATAGGTGTTTTGGACGACGTATTCCTCCTCGTTCTTCTCTCTCAGCTCCTCGTTCTTCCGGTTCAGCTCCTCGTTCTTCTGGCCGAGCTCCTAGTTCTTCTGGTGGAACTTCAAGGACTCAATATGCTGAGATGGAAATCCTCATGGAGGAGGCTGATGATGACCTGAAGACGGTTGGGTACAAC